GCGCCCCGGCCCCCCCACCCCCCTGAAGTTCTGAGCTGTGACGGCAGGTGCCTGCCGTCACCAGAGCTTCCTAAGGACAACCACAAAGCAACTCTGTGCACCTTCGTGATTCTCACCGGTTTCAGGGTCGAAACTGCAGAAACAGGGAAAAAGGACTGTGAGCAGCATGTCCCCCTCCCCCTGCAATAGGAACTAACAACTAATTTCATACCCCTCCCTCCCTCGATAGCACTGGCTTCCACTGAGCAGCAAGACCAAGAACACAGGACACTAACCCCGGGTGGTCCCGAACCTCAGGCTCTCCGCTTCCAGGGCTCCCGGGGTCCTGCTCCCAGGAGGTCTAACATGGCTCTGGCACTGACTTAACCGATTGCGCCTGCCTTAGGAATTCCTCCAGACCGACGGGGCTGCGACTCTGTGGCTTTCACTAAAAGCCTATTCTAGTACAATCGCCCGTGGACTCCAGCTATTTCAAAGGGGCCACCCCAGGAGCCTCCATCTGGCTGTCCCGCGCCTAAGCCAGTTAAGGGGATTCGCGGGCGGCTAAGGCCCTGCCACCGCGTTAATACAATTAGAAACTGTTGCTCTCCCAGTCTCCGCCCCACTGGCTGGGAACCAGCACCTGCCCTGTTCATTGGAGCCACTGTCCCTCCCGGCCTGCGGCTTAACCTCCAGACACAGTTTCGAAATAAAGCACATCTTTGTAAGACGGCCTGTTCCCAGGGCACCGTTTTCCCTCCGGAGGAAATGCCCCGGGGAACTGCAGCGGCCCGGGAGCCGGCCTGCGTCGGGCTGGGGGGGTTTGAACCGAGCACGGAGGCGGAAGAAACAAATTCCAGGCCTGCTCATCTACCCAGGGAGGGGGGCGGCAGAGGCGGCTTGCAGCGCGGCTCCGCAGTTCCTGGATGCGAAACTGTCATTTCACAGACGAGGATGTGAATGCGACTCTCAACACATCTGAGCGCGAAGGCAGGCGCGTCAGCCTCCCACACAATTAGTCTCCCCTCCGCGGTTACATAAGACGACGGATTACCCGTCCACCCATCCCACCTGCCCGCGCTCGACCTCCCACCTGGGCACTTCGT